GTGCCTCACCTCTGCCTACCCTTTCGGGGATAAAAGGCGTGATGTTATGTTATGTGTTGTAACGCAAGCGTTGTTATACGTCGTGTAGTTCCTACCACCGTCTTTTCAGATCCTACCACAGCTAGTCATCTTGCGAATGTCATCATTCCACTTAAGTTATAGACACTAGATTCCAGAACACGTTTCTCCCATGCTGATTAGTTCCGTTAAATCCAAAAAATAAATTAAAACATGGCATATAAAACAATATTATGTAGAAAGATGTATGTAAGAATCACCATAGCAACTGCCTTTCCATAGTCTCTGCCTAACCCCATGGGAGAGAGGCGTGAGGTTATGTATGTATGTATGTAAAAACTATTCTAACCACAGTTTTTTATTGTTTCAGGTAAAAACGACATATTTTAAAGTACCTGCGTTGGTAATGTTATAAAATAACTAAAACTTGTCATTTTACCGAGTACCTAGATAGCTACTAACATTATCTTTCTGTTATTTATTTTCCCGTATTCATAAATAAGTACAAAACAAATTCCTCCAACATTTGTATAAACTCTTTAATAAAATTAGAGAGACGCCGGGACAAATTGCTAGCACGCCCATGCATGAATATTTTGTAGCATATGCAAATATGCTTCGGAAGCGTACGTACTGTACAGTACTGTACTGGTGGGCCAAACCTCGTGTACAACTGTAGTTGGGCGGAGACAGTGGATCAAGTTTGTACTGTAAGGTTCAGATTTTAAAAAGAGTTTTTGTTTAAATTAATGTTAGGGTTGTGAACTAAAATATTTTTTTATATTAGAGAGCTATTATGTTAGACTGCCTCGTTGGCCGAGTGGTCGCAAATGCGACTGCCGAGCAAGGGGTCTTGGGTTCGATTCCCGGGTCGGGCAAAGTATTACTGGGTTTTTAAAAAATTCTCAGTAGTAGCACTGAGTCTGGAGTTGTGCCCGGTATATCGCAATAGATTCACCCCCTACTACATGCAAGCCGTTAAGCTGTGCCTGTTATTTCATAAGACCTGTAATGACCTGTATGTATTACCTTAACATGCAAATAAAGACTTTGAGTTTGAGTTTGAGTTTGAGTACATGGGACTCATAACATAAATAGTGAAAAGTGGGTGTTACATCGTACAGTGGCATAATGTGCACCTCTGCCTACCCCTTCGAGGATAAAAGACGTGCTGTTAAGTAGTAGTAGTAGTAGAGCTATTATTTTAGCATAGCTTCAGCACAAATGGGCTGACCCAATCGGAGTGATACCACGGCCTAGCATAAAACCGTTGTGATACAATGCATGCGTTGTGTTTCCTCATATGAGTGAGGTTTCTTGTTACGATGTCGTCAGAATGTCATGCCTTACAGAGTGTAATAAACACGAAGATATTCGATATCCAGTTTCTATATTCTACACTGTAAAAGTAGTTATAAGACTTACACTACTGAACTTCATGCACTGTACATCCGGACACAGGACATCGGTAACGCGCATGCGAATTAAATCCGTGCTTTTGTCGATGTGAATGCTTTATGTCCCTTCTTGAAAGGACTGCCTATACCACTTCAATAGAGAGGATTTAAGCACCGGTTTGCACTATTGTGCTGGGTTAATTTAATGGGAGGTGTTTTGGAATTGGAGGAGAATTTAATTCATAATTTTACATCACATTTTGTCAATGGTTCTTATGTAGATAGTTTGTTAATGTGTGTGATTTATTTTGAAAATTAAAACAGTTGGAAAAAGGCAAATAAAATCTGATAATCTCAACAATAATATGTATTTTTTCAAGAATAAGATTTTCTGCCTCGTTGGCCGAGTGGTCGTAAGTGCGACTACCGATCAAGGGATCTCGAGTTCGATTCTCGGGT